CCTCTCCCCATGGCCAGAAAAGTCAGGCTAGGAGTTCTTTCAAAGTTCACATCTTGACCCCATCAATGGGATCATGAAAAGCACCCCAACTGCCACAAACTCTCTGGGAAGGTTTGACTTTATCCCCTATGCATTGTCCCAAGTGAACCTGGTGGTAAACAATCCACTGCTGCACCAGATCCCCACTTCACGGCTGTAATTTTTTTTAAGTTTATAAAGTCACTTTAAAAGAAAAGTCATTTATGCAAATGATCACCTCAGCTACCATTTTAAAAGGAAGTATAACATTAAAACGGGTCGAGATTACAAAATAGTTCACTATTTCTTATATTTGACCAAAGAGGTTCAACATCTTCCAATTTTAATTAAAAAGAGTATTTTGTAGACTTTACATATGCTAACGCAAATCATGTATGACATATAATAAAAGATGAAAAACAATCATTTTTTAAAAAATGGACCATAAAAATGTTATTAACAATAGTCAGTCAGTAAAATTACATGCACACGGATTCTTACTGTAATCCTCTTTGTAACACATTTGGAAATTACCCAAATGCCCATCAATAGGTTGAAGAACTATGGTATGTACATTCACACAATGGAGTACTATGCAGTAAAAAGGAATGAAGCAAATAAGTAACTACATTAATGGCTTTGAGAAGTAGGATCTTTTGTCAGGGAAGAAAGGAGATAGAGAACTAGTATCAATGAAGTTAGTAAAAACTATGAAGTCCTGAATTTGAAATGGAAATACCAGTTTGACTCATAATGTATTTTAATTCAAGGGGGAAAAAATGTTTCCAGCTCCATCTGTCCATTTCTAGCTTTTATACCTGAGAAGGCCTAGAAACAATAACCAAACTACTAGCATTGAGCACCTCAGGTGTCCAGACTGTTGTCTCTAAATACCACTTCTCACTAAAGGAACTAAGAGAAGGGAGGGAGGAGAGAGTAAGAGAAGCTAATTCCTTGGAGAAATGGCTGATTCCAGTTCTGACACGGAAATATATAACCCTATAACTATTTATCATACCAGAAAGTAAGAAAACTAATTATACATTAAAAAAAAAAAAAAAAAAAAACTAGGAGAATGCTATTTTGAAAACCACTTAGTAAAAAGAAATTGATCATTTATCTTGCCTTGATGATGGACAGCTTCTGTTTATAGAAATATCCCTTTAATAAATGAAGGAGTGATAAAACGAGAATATCTCTATTTTACAACTTCTTATGAATAAATGGATCTAGACTATAATTATCACCAGCTGCTAACAAAACAAAAAAGAAAAACAGGACATATGTACCTCCTGACACCACCACATATGCAGTCTTGCTAAAAAAAAAAAAAAAAAAAAAAACAAACCTATATCTGATAAAGCCTCTAGATGTTATCAACTTACAAGAAATACAAGGGACAAAGAACATGTTAAACTCTACCACAGAGATATAATCAGCAAAATCCAGACCATCAGTAGGTCTCACAACAAAGGACTTGTTTTTTCAGCAAAAGAAAGCTAGAGAGAGAAGGGTAATCAAAAGATTAAAGAGATTTAAGATTTTTTAAAAACAGAGATGCTTAAGAAACAAAGCAATCAACCACAATGTGTGGAGCTTACTTAAATCATGATTCAACAAACAAATTTTTAAAACCAACTAATATGATCTGAACAGTGAATGGATGTTTGAATAATTTTTATCTTTTCTAGATGCAGTAGCAGTATTTCGGTTAATTTTTTAAAGATTTCTTATCTTTTAGAAATACATATGGAAATACTTATGAATAAAAGATATGATGTTTGGAATAAAGGATGAAATTGATAATGGTACATTGGGGTTCTTTACATGAATTTAATTTATTTATATTTTGCAATTTCCCATAACAAAGTGGAAAAAAAGGTAGCACTTCCCAATTCAAACAACTATAAATATTACATAACTATATTTTTACACATATAAAAATACGTTTTTTTTTGCCAGCCACGCAACTCCAACCCCAACACTATTTTCTTTTTTTTTTAAATTGTTGTGCTTCAAGTGAAAGCTTACAATTCAAGTTAGTCTCTCATACAAAAATTTATACATACATTGTTATGTGACCCTAACTGCTCTCCCTATACTGTGACAGCACCTCTTCCTCCCTTCCACCCTGGATTTCCTGTGTCCCTTCAACCAGCTCCTGACTGTCTGCCTTCTCATCTCACCTCCAGACAGGAGCTGCCCATTTAGTCTCATGTATCTACTTGAGCTAGGAAGCACATTCTTCACAAGTATCATTTTATGTCCCACAGTCCAGTCTAACCTTTGACTGAAGAGTTGGCCTTGGGAATGGTTTTAGTGCTGGGTTGATAAGAGTCTGGGGGCCACACTTTCTGGGGTTCCTCCAGTCTTGGTCAGACCATTAAGTCTGGTCTTCTTACTAGAATTTGAGTTCTGCAACCCACTTTTCTCCTACTCCAACAGGGACTCTCTGTTGTGTTCCCTGTCAGGGCAGTCATTGGTGGTAGCCGGGCACCATCTAGTTCTGGTCTCAGGCTGTTGCAGTCTCTGGTTCATGAGGCTCTTTCTGTTTCTTGGGCTAATGCTTTTCTTGTGACTTTGGTGTTCTTCATTCTCCTTTACTTCAGGTGGGTTGAGACTAATTGATGCATCTCAGATGACTGCTCGCTAGCTTTTAAGACCCCAGATGCCACTCACCAAAGTAGGATGCGAAACGTTCTTAATAAACTCTTATGCCAGTTGACCTAGATGTCCCCTGAAAGCATGGTCTCCAGACCCCCACCCCTGCTACTCTGTCCCTCGAAGTGTTTGGTTGTATTCAGGAAACTTCTTAGCTTTGGTTTAGTCCAGTTGTGCTGACTTCCCCTATAGTGTGACCCTCACACTATTTTCAAAAGAGCACTATGCCGGTTGTTACATGTATGGGCACGTTATTTACATGGGTGCATTATTTTCGAAAATACTGTGTGTTGTGTGTGTGTATGTGTGTGTGTGTGTGTGTGTCAGAAAAATGTGAACAGTCACTATGTTTTAATATTAAGGAATTATTGTTAATATTTTATGATAATGGTATTTCAGTTATTGTGGGGATATATGCCATTTAAACATGGCTGTACTATTGACAACTGCAGCCCCCACAGGCCTCTATGCTGCACAGCATGTTGAGACTTGTCTCCAACATGTCGAGACTTGTCCGATGTGTTCTCCCAAACCCTATTGTCCCTTTACTGATTGACTAGTTAACCTGAATTCCTTCTTCCTTGCCCATACTCAAAGCCCATTGTTTTGTTAATTGCCCTATTGATTGCTGTATTGACTATAAAATAAACTCCTGGGACTGAAGTGGGGGTCGACTCCTCAGAGTGACCCTCCTGGCCCCACTCCTCTGTAAGAGTTGTGCAGTTGGTTACTGTCTTCGCCGTCCCGATTACCGTCCGCCGCTGCGACAGATGGTGCCCCGTGTGAGGAGCTGCGACAAGTTATAATTATTTTTTTTTTAAAAAGAGCCCTTATCTTTTAGAGATAATGAAATGTTTTCAAATAAAATGATACCTGGGATTTGCTTCAAGGTAAGCAGGCCTTGGGGAGGGAGTATGGTGCACCTAAAAAAGATTGGCCATCTAGCAAAAATTGTTGATGGTCGGTGATAGGTAAATTCTTATAATTAAACTACTCTTTGTTTTTGTATACATATGAAATTTTCCATAATAAAAGTTTTAAAAAATTACTTTTTTATGCAAATCTTGATGTAAGGTTTCTAAAACCTCTGTACCTAGCCATCTTACCTCACAAGTCTTCATAAAGACTACATGAAATGAGTGCAATGGAGTGACTACTGAAACGCTGCCCTGTGTTATCTAGGCAGCTGAGTAGAGTGAAGAGAACAGTGAAGTATCATTGCTTTTCCAGTGATGCTTTTCATCACTTTTTATTCCCTCTCTCAACTAAAAGCTCCTTAAAGGCAGAAACCCTGTCCATCTTGTTCTCCTTGCCTAGTATGCAGCTTAAATAATTTTTTGAATGAAAGAGTAAGCCTGAGTTCACGTCCCTGTTGAGCAAAGCTGACTGAATGTTCTATTCGTACCCATCTCTAGAGCTGAAATTCAATCAGTGTTTGTTGTATGCAGGTTGGACAATTTACTTAACCTTGCTGAGCCTCAGGCTCCTCATTTGTAAAACAGAGATAATATCTATCTCATCAATTTGTTCTGATAGAATGTGACTAAAAGGACTTCATTTGCCCATTCATTCATTCCGAAAATATTGTAAATTTTCAAGTCCAATGAAAAATCATTCCCATAAATAGGGCAGTAATAATAAAATAATGTAGCTTAACATTAGTTAAATGTAAATATTCATTCAACAGACATTGGTGGAGTTTCTAATATGTCCTAGGCTCTGTGCTATGTACTAGGGTTAACTATGAAAGTAAATACACCATAATCCTTGTTTTTGAGGATGTTTTCTGTCAAATGAAAGGGAGTGGGAAATAAAGATGACAACATCACCTAGTAAGTGGCATACCAAATTACAACAGAAAGGATATTCCCATCTGTGATATTCTCCTACCCAAGTTGGTTTCAGGAACGAAATCCATTCACTGAACTTCCCAGTTATAAATCTGAACTTCCAAATGAAAGCCACCATGAGGTACTTCTCTTTTACTTATTCACTGCCATGAGGCTATGGATTCTTTCTAAAGACCCCAGCGAATGCTAGAAATCTTCTAAAGGAATCAGAGATTCTTTTGTTTCTGTAGGTTTTTTGCTAGCAGTCCAAACCAAAAGAGCCAAATGGAGCTCATCCATTTAATATTAACTGCCAACTCCCTTCTCCCAGAACCCAAGGCCCTTCTATTTAAAAGAAGCCCCTCTAGCAACTTGCTTTGTGCCAATCAGTGGCCAAACTAAGAAAGGATACCAGATTCAAGTCTTTCAACCCAATTTCAACTTATCTTCCATTAAAAACAGGATCTAAAAAAATTTTTTTTAATAACTTACCTCAAATTCCTCCCAAAAGCCTTGTTTGACTTTATCTGTGGTCTCAGCTAATTTGCTTAGTTCTCGAACTCGGCTTTCTATTTCAGCAGCATTGATACGAGTTGTGTTGAGGGGCTAATCAAGTTCAGCAGTTGATGTAAAACAGAAAATATTAAAGAAAAAAGTATTAATGAAAAAAAAAATACTTCTATCTTGGTAACCATAAAGGCAAAGACGGGGGGATTCACAGGACACAGTAATTCACATTTAACATTTTCAAACAGTTTCACTTTCTTTTCTGGTTGGTCAGGAAATCTTTCTTCAATCTCCACACATACTTTACTCTGTTGATATAAATTCAAACCTATTTTTCTTTGCAACTATACCATAAAATTATTTCAAGAGATGATGTCATTTGCCACCAAGTCGTAAGAGTGAATTTTGAAATAACAGTTAATTCCAAAATGAGTGGGATCACCTCAAGGTAACCAAAGGCAGATCTGCGATGAGAACTTGGTGAAAACTTGCTTTAAAAATTCTATAATGCCTTTGACAGATCCTGTGGAGATGATGTAACATCTGGAATTTGTTTCCAGATAATACAGGAGGAGGGCTGTGGGTGGAGGTATAAATGAAACAAAATTTGATGAGCTGATCATGATTGAAGCTGGGTGGTGGGTACGTGGAGATTCATGATGATATTCTGTCTACCTCTGCAAGTTTGGAATATTATATATTAGGATTTAAAACACTCTATAAGGAGACAGCGCGTTAGCTTCCCAAATGCTCACCTGCTTGAGTTGTAGTACAGTGCCCAATGTTTCCACCATAGGATTCTTCTTGTAATGCTCCACGAGATCTGTCAAAGAATCAAACCGCTCTCCTCCACCAACATCATATTTCAGTTCCTTCCAAGACAAAACAATGATGTTTTGTTACCTTTATTGTTCTTCCCAACTCAAGTACAGAAACTGACTCTTGCCCCAGGAATGTAAAGATCAAACAGCTGTACTCATACAAAGGAAAGGAAGCCAACAGGGATGATAAAATGGAGAGACTGATTCAATGTGAAAGAATGTATCACTGTGATGTGTGTGAGAAGCTCTAAGTATGAATCCTACATTTACCAGTCCACAAAAAAGTTTCTCCCTCATGAGTTAACCGAATAGTTAAAGAAAGGAAAAGCAGTTATTCTTTATTATACTCAGGCTAAATGACTACACATCAGGCTGCTGAATAGAAGGAAAACAACCGTTTCTGAACACGAGAGACTCTAAGGCTGGTGAGGCAGCACTGAAGGCCAATACATCTTTCATTTCATCTTCTAATGACAATTCAAAAGGGAAATTATAAACAGAGACCAGGAAATTTTTTCTGACAAAGACCAGAACAGGCTACTTAAAGACAACAACAGAAAAATAGTTAAACTCAGAAAATACAAAGTCCTATGAAGACATTTGGGTGCTATCCTTTATTTAAAAATATAGCTATAAAGGGGAGGCACTTTCAGAATGACAAAGTAAGGACTTTTGAAAATCCACTTCTCCATAAAAGCAATGAGAACATGGTAAAAATTGTCAAAATCAACTTTCTCAGAATTCTGGAAATTAAGAACTTGCAACAGTAATGAAGTACTGACACGTGCTACATGGATGAACTGTGAAAACATGCTAAGTGAAAGAAACCAGACATGAAAGGCCTCATACTGTATGACTTCATATATAGAAAATGTTCAGGACAGGCAAATCCAGAGAGTCAGAAAGTAGATTTGTGGTTGCCAGGGGCTGAGGAGAGAGGGGAAATGGGGAGTGACTGCTAATATGAGTAAGGCTTCTTTCTGGGATGATGAAAACGTTCTGGAATTAGATCATGTTGAGAGATGCACAACTTTGTGAATACACTAAAAACCACTGAATTGTACACTTCAAGAAGATGAGTTGTATGCTGTGTGAATTATATCTCAATAAAACTATTATTAAAAAATGTTTAAGTAAACAAACCGACGCACTAAGTGGATAGGCAGTTTCTATTTAAGAAACAATGTCTAAACAAAGGAACGACTGCCTTGGTCCAGCCACCACATTAAAAAGAAATACTGCATTCAACTCTCCCAGCCTCAGTGCAATAGCTCTGCAATATGAAGGCGAATACAGTCACAGGCTAGACTGTGACAATCTGAAGAAGGAGCTGAGGCCATCTGTCTTAGTCATCTAGTGCTGCTCTAACAGAAATACCACAAGTGGATGGCTTTAACAAAGAGAAAGTTTATTCTCTCACAGTCTAGTAGGCTGGAAGTCCAAATTCAGGGTGTCAGCTCCAGGGGAAGGTTTTCTCTTCTCTGTTGGCTCTGGTGAAAGGTCCTTGTCAATCTTCCACTGGACTAGGAGCTTCTCTGCGCAGGAACCTCAGGTCCAAAGGACACGCGCGCTCTGCTCCCGGCACTGCTTTCTTGGTGGTATGAGGTCCCCTACTCGCTACTTGCTTCCCTTTCCTTTTATCTCTTACAAGAGATAAAAGGTAGTGCAGGCCACACCCCAGGGAAACTCCCTTTTCACTGGATCAGGGATGTGACCTGGGTTACATCGGTGTTACAGTCCCACCCTAATCCTCTTTAATGTAAAATTACAATCACAAAATGGAGGACAACCACACAACACTGGGAATCATGGCCTAGCCAAATTGACACACACATTTTTGGGGGGACACAATTCAATCCATGACACCATCACTTTAGAAACAGACTTTGAGGTCGACTCCAGCTGCAAGCAAACTGACACAGTCTAGATTCTGCAGGGCACAAGGCCCTGAGACGTGGCTTAATCTGCCAGAGATAGACTAGAAATAAATAATTTAGTGGAGTTTGGAAATGATGAAGCAATCATAATAAACAATGAACCAAAAGTTCAGAAGCCCCTGACTAAATGAGCAAAGGACCATCTGACTTCAGACACGACGGTACGCATCCTCTCCCACTGGAGAAATCACCCAAAGACGATAGTGTGCCCGACCCACAGCACAGCGCGGCTTTACCTGACAGCGGATCATGACGTGGGTCACTTTAGACTTGCTGTCATTGCTCTCCCCTTTGTCATCTCCAGTGCGGACAGAGAGAACAAAATCTCCAGGGTGGCTCTGGCTCTCGCGCACAAGAAAGCTACCATGTTTTCCTTTCTCCGTTAACAATTTCTCGGCTTCTTTCCCAGAGAGGTGTCCATGAAACCACCTACGTTTTTAAAAATAAAAGTTAATTGTTGTTCTGCCAAGGGTTCCCAGCATGCGTTCACGAGACTACCACATAGAGTCGGCACTACTAAACGCAATTAAAACACAGACACATCTCTCCTTCAAGGGATTGAGTGCTTCCTCCTAAGACAGAATTTACGTTCCAAACAAGCAGGAAAATGGCAGAGATGTTAAGAATGACAATAAAAACTTCTTAAATGAGCCCACCGTCATTTGGAGACAAATGTTCTCATTGTTTTCATTTTCTTTTAACTCTCTTCATCTTTTAAAAAATACAATTTATCATTTTTCAGATCACCCAAGCCAAAAAGGACCAACTATTCAACCACAGCCATTTAAAGAAATTCTAATAGAAAGTTATAGTACAGACAATCATTTTGAATGTTTGCCCTTGCTTTAAGGAGCCCTGGTGCCGCAGTGGTTGAAGCGCTCAACTGCTAACTGAAAGGTGGGGGTTCAAAAACACCAGTGACTCCGGGGGAGAAAAATGTGGCAGCCTGGTTCAGTAAAGATTTACAGCCTTGAAAACCCCAAGGGGTCACTGTGAATCAGTATCGATTCCATAGCAACAGGTTTGGTTTTTCTGCTTTGGCCCTTGCTTTGGCCTGTGGACACTACATAAAAAAAGATGTTCATTATAAATTAATTTGAACATCCTAAATTTTCCCTATTTCCAACCTACACTTCAACAGCCTCCAAATTTGCTATCAGCATCTTTGGATTGTAGACTGGGTTATCATCTAAAACTTCAATGCACGTAAGGCTCAGAGTAGGGGTGAGGGATTTTGCTAAAAATGTGGATTCTCAGGCCCCACAACCAGGGATACTGATACGCTAAGGCAGGATGGGGCCCAGAAATCTGCATTTTTAACCAGCACACCAGATCAACCTGATGTAGGGCCATCCAAGGACTGACTGTGACAACTATGGAACTATGGAAAACATCCTAACACAGTCCTGTTAATAATGTGGCTTTTCTTCCTCAGGATTTTGGTAAGAGAGCAAGGTACTATCATGGCAGATAATGCTAATGGCTCATCACCAAAGGAATATACTCTGAGTGACTTTCATCCACACTCAATTGAACAGAGTCAAATTTAGAAATAAACTATGTAGAAGTGGTGGACAGCCTTCTGCTTGAAGCTATGAGGGTAGCTAGAGAAATTATCAGCACATGATAGGTTTGAAATAAATGTGTAATGTGAAAAAAACATACCTGAAGATAAAAAACATACCAACCTAATTAAGAGACTGAATTCGTACTGAATCAGAGAGGAGATTGGGAATACAGAAAACAATGATATCAATACAAATACATCAAGTCCCAGCTTTCATCAGCTTAGTTCCAACACGGGGCAAGGCGGGGGTTGGGGGGTGGGAATCTCAGAAATAATACAATCCCATCTATGCAAGGTCGTTTTCACACATTTGAGGGCACAGGGCAAAAGAACTGATGGAAAGTCTCGGAGTTCTCTGCTTTTCCAGTCCTGAGCTTAAACTGACATCTGTTGGTGGAGCTGCTGAATAACTGGTCAAGAGCTCCCATAAAGAACGGCTGTTATGCTGAAGTCTCCGTTATCATGTCTTCCTTTAATGTTCAAAGATTATTAGCTGAAGTTCAATAAATCTCAAAATGACTCCAGGACCAAGTATATTCAGGAATCGTCTCAGAACCCTGTAGAATGAGTGCAAGTAATACTAACTGAAGCTTTTGCAAGAAAAGGATCCTCTGAGAATAAGTTGATCCTATTATTTTTACTTTAGTGAAGCTTTGAAGATTATAGCTTGAGAAACAGATACAAACCAAACCCCTATAATGCACGCATGTAACACATGTGGCCCAGGGAAAACTCACAGAAGTCTGAGGCTTTAAGGTTATTAAAATGTCACTGACCTTTCAGAGGTAGGGTCTGCACAGTTCAGAGGATATTTGAGCTCAATAACGTCTCCATTCTTCTCTTTTAATTGCCCATGATGTTCCATGTAATACTGGACCAGCTCAGCCAAAGTGGCAAACTTCTCCCCTCCATACAGGTCATAGTAATCACCAGTGTTCTGAATCTTGATGTGGGTGACAGCTCCATTTCTTCTAAAATAGTCCATTGGAAGGGGAAGGGGGGGAAACCAAACAAAGAGCTATTCTAATAATAAAGATGGACCTCATGTTCAGTATTAGATTTCACCTAAATGTTGAAACAAACTCAAGGGAAGAGTTTATACCTTCCCTGTACAAATGTAATGAGTAAAAATGACACACATTCAACCACTTCAACACAAGGCTTTATTTATTTGTTCCTTTCTCCTATGCATGTCCCATTTTGAAAGAATGTGCCTACCAAACTGCATATATTAAGCGGTAATAATTTTTCCCATTGTTAATTAATTAAGGAGCCATATAATTAAAGTTAAACATACACATAAATTTATTATCCAACAAATCTGTTCCTAAGTATTTTGCCCAGAAGAAGTGTATGGCCACCAAAAGAACTGTACATGAATGTTCATTAAGGCTGTCCAGAGGCAAGATGAGAAGGCAGAGAGGGTCAGGAGCTGGTTGAATGGACACGGGAAATCCAAGGTGGAAAGGAGGAGTGTGCTGTCACAGTACAGGGAGAGCAACTAGGGTCACATAACAATGTATATATAAATTTTTGTATGAGAGACTAACTTGAATTGTAAACTTTCACTTAAAGCACAACAATTAAAAAAAAAAACTCATCTCACTGTATACTTAAGGTACTGTATATATCTTTAAAAATCATTTTAAAGACTCATATAATTGACAGTTTCTAGCATGAGATAGCTAACGTGTTATCCTACTGAGTTCACATATATAAGTATAAGCCAAAAATTTTTCAAACTGGCCATTTCAGTTTTCCTGAGAAAGGTTATTATGATTTCCATTTGGTTTTCTGACCTACTAAATACATCTCAAGACCTTTGTAAACCCCAAGGTGTCTGGCAACCCAAACAGTAACTACTGACCTATATTTATTTTTAGTTTGACCCTGTCACATTATTAATGAAGCCTCTGGAAAATATAAATACATTTATACCAAAGAATAGGGGAAATGGGAACTAAAGACAAAAAGAAAAATTGTCCCATAATGTTACTGACAATATTTACTTCTAATTCTTAGTAAAAGGTGCCCTAATGGTGCAGTGGTTAAACGCTTGGCTGCTAACCAAAAGATCAGTGGTTCGAACCCACCAGCTGCTGAACAGGATAAAGATGTGGCAGTCTGCTTCCGTAAAGATTACAGCCTTGAAAACCCTATAGGGCAGTTCTACTCTTTCCTATAGGGTCGCTATGAGTTGGAATAGACTTGATGAAAATGGATTAATTCTTGGGTGACAATCTTTCCCATTGCTTAAAAAGACTCAGGTCACATTCTCCTCCAGCTATATCTGACTCTATTTTAACGCCTGAGCTTTCTAATCTTTAATGACATAATACAAAAAAAGATCTATCAGGTATTATCTAGATCAATATATAACAACATACATGGTTCTCAGAAACATACTACATGAAAGAAGCACAATGCAGAATGATATGCTTAATATGAACCATTTATGTAAATCTGAACACACTCAAATAATACTATATATTATTCATGATCAGTGGGCTCAAACATAGCAATGATTGTGAGGATGGCACAGGACCGGGCAGTGTTTCATCCTGTTGTACACAGGGTCACTGTGAGTCAGAATCGACTCGATGGCACCTAACGACAGCAACAATCTTCATGAGACGTATATGTTAATTTAACGAACTAGCGAGCTATACACCAAACTCACGATGATAGCTGCCTCTGGGCAAAAGGGAGAATGGAACTGAGGGTGGTGACTGAAGGAAAATTTTGTTCTATTTTGTATCTCATGTTTAAAGGAAAAAAAAAGCAATAAATACAACACAGGTGATTGCTACTTTTTTTTTTTGTATTTTTTCTGTACTTTATTTTCCCTCAAAATAAAAAAAAGTTCTTCCCTGACTAACTGAACGTGAGGCAACATAATCACCAGTTTTTCATCATGGGAACAAGAAAAAAGTGAGGTCACCCACAGAGAGCCAGACCAATAAACATCATACATGCATATACATACACACAGAACAGTGTCTATAACATATAAAAAAACGGGTAACAAGTGAAACATAGAGGCACCGTTGCGTAGTTGTTAAAAGCGTTGGTTCTAAGACAATTCACAAGCAAAAGATAGATAAATCAGTCTTTAAACTTATGAAAAGATGTTCAGCTTTAATCACAAAAGAAATGCAAATTAAAACTCACTGAGATACCATTTCTCACCTATCAGATTGGTGAAAATGAAAAGCCTGACAACAGCCTCAAATGGAGAGGCTGCGGAAAAACTGGCACTCTCATTCATCGCTGGTGGGACTACAAAAGTTCTTGTATATAGTAATGATGTCATGGTTAGAGAGAGAAACGTCCTTATTCACAGGAGACATGTTAAGTATTTAGAAGTAAAAATGAATGTGGTGTCTGCAACTCACTTTCAAAAGGTTCAGCAAAAAAAATTATATATGTACAAACAAACACACTTTTAAAGAGAAAAAGCAAATATGGCAAAATGTTAATAACTGGTAGGGGAAGGGAATATGGGTGTTCACTTATTCATCTTTCATTTTTCTATAGGTCCGAAAATTTTTGAAATTAAAAAGTTGGGGAAAAGAAAAACAAAACAAGCAAACAAAAAAACCACAGGCTCTGGAGTCCTAGCTCTGTAACTTACTAGCTATGAGAACTTGGACAGGTAGCTTAACCTCTGTGCCTCAGCTTCCCCACCTATGAAATGAAGATAATAATGGTACTTACTGATAGGTTTGTGGGAGTAAAATAATATGTGTAGATACAACTATTGGCCTCTACTTCTCCAGAGCAAAAGAGAAAGAAGGAAACCAAAGACTCAAAGAAGAAACTAGTCTATAGAACAAATAGTCTACATGAACCACGGTCTCATCTACCCTAAGACCAGAAGAAGTAGATGGTGCCTGGCTACCACTACTAACCATTCTGGTCAGGGCCACAATAGATGGATCTGTATAGAACTGGAGAAAAATGTAGAACACAATCTCAAATTCCTTAAACAAAAAAAAAACAGACCTACTGGACTGCTTGAGACTGGAGGACTCCCCAAGACTACTGCCCTGAGATATTCTCCAAACTTTGAACCAAAACTAACCATGGAGGTCACCTTGTAACTAAATAACAAATTGGCTCAAAAAATAATGGATATCACCCGTAAGTACTGTGCTCCTCTAAAAAAAAAATCATCCATATGAGACCAAACAGTCACGTTATTTTAAAACAAAGATGAGGATGAATGTAAGGGGACAGAGAAACTAGATAAATGGAAATGGAACAACCAGAATGGAAATAATGACAATGTTCACACACTGTGAAGAACGTAACAAATGTCACTGAACAACTTCTGTAGAAATTGTTGAATGGGAACCTAAAACTGCTGTGTAAACCTTCACTGAAAACACAATATTAATTAAAAAAATAAATAATATGTGTAAAGTACTTAGCACAATAGCTTGGTATATGGCAAGACCTCAATAACATTTGCTATCATCATCGTCGCTGTCATTATTATATAATCTCCATCCAAATGCTTACAGCTCAAATGTCATACATCAGTAGGTTAGAAGTCTGTGCTATGATAAGCCGGAGAGACCTATGAAGACTCCACCCACTCCTTGCGGCAAAAGGGAAGTAAAAACCAACGACAGACTCCTCAAGAAACCGATCCAAGCCAAAAAGGGAATTCCCAAGTCTCAGAGAGATTCTAAATATATCCTCAAGAACATGTTTAACTTATCTCTCTATTTAAAAGAACAATAATAAAAGTACATTCAGAAAGCAGTTCAGTTCTAGCTCCTGGAGTGAACTAGAATAAAGAAAATAAGGATAAGAGAGTAGTCAATTTCTAGAAAGACTCTCCCATACAAGCTCATAGAGACAGATAACAGAATACTCATTGCCATAAGCCAAAGAAAAAACATCTGTTGCCATCGAGTCGATTCCAACTCATAGTGACCCTACAGGACAGAGCAGAACTGCCCTATAAGGTTTACAAGGCTGTAATCTTTACAGAAACAGACTGCCACATCTTTCTTCCGTGGAGCAGCCAGTGGGTTTGAACTGCTGACCTGTCAGTTAGCGGCCGAGCACTTAACCACTGCACCACCAGGGCTCCTCTTCACTACTACACTGTTTAGAAAAAATTAAAAAGTGAAAACAGCCTAACGTCCATCAATAGGAGATTGGGTAAACTTGGATATGTTCACACTATTGTTACACTATATAGCCGCTGCAATTAATAATATATCCACTGCCACAGACTCAATTCCAACTCCTAGCAAAGCTATAGGACGGAGTAGAACTGCCCCATAGGACAGACTTCCAAGGAGCAGCTGGTGGATTCAAACCGCCACCCTTTTGGTTAGCGGCCAAGCTCTTAACCACTGCGCCACCAGGGCTCCAATTAACAATACAGAACTCAAAAATTGAAAAAAGCAAGTTGCAGAATGATCATCACATTATAAAACCATTTATTAAAGGTGAGAATTTTTAAAACACACAAAACGACTTTATATACTTTAGATCATACAAACGTAGTACAAGCATAAAAGCATGTTCAGGAAGGATGTATGCCAACCTCTCCGTGGTGGTTTCCTCTGGCAACAGAGGGAGGGGAATGGGACTGGGCATGGGAACAAAGGGGACCACAGCTTCCTCTGTAACGCTTTATTTCTTGAAAAAAGAAAAATGACATGAAGAAAGACTCTTAAAAAATATTTTTCCCATTAAGAAATAAACAGAAGGTGTGATCTGGGAATGAAGAAGGGTGGTGGTTGAACAACATGATGAATGAAATTAATGTCACTGAACTGAACATGTGAAGACTGTCCGCACGTCAAATACTTTCTTACATATATATTTACCTCAATAAAAGTAAACAGATTAAAAGTTTGCAAGCGGCCATCTAAGAGGCATCAATTGGTCGCAACCACCTGGAGTAAAGGATAACGAAGAACACCAAAGACACAAGGAAAGTATTAGCCCAACACACAGAATGGGCCACATAAACCAGAGACTCCATTAGCCTGAGACCAGAAGAACTAGATGGTGCCCGGCTACCACCAATGAATGTCCTGACAGGGAACACAACAGAGTCCCGGATGGAGCAGGAGAAAGGTGGGGTGCAGAACTCAAATTCTAGTAAGTAGACAAGACTTAATGGTCTGACTGAGACTGGAGGAACCCCAGAAAGCATGGCCCCTGGATTCTCTATCAGCCCAGAACTAAAACAATTTTGGAGGCCAACTCTTTAGACAGGGGTTGGACTGGACTGTGGGACATAAAGTGATACTCGTGAGGAGTGTGCCTCTTAGCTCAAGTAGATGATACAAGAGACTAAATGGGCAGCTTCTGTCCGGAGATGAGATGGGAAGGCATAGAGGGTTAGGAGCTGGTTGAATGGATATGGGGAATCAGGGGTGGAAAGGAGGAGTGTGCTGTCACAGTATGGGAAGAGCAATTAGAGTCACATAACAATGTATGTATAAACTTTTGTATGGGAAAAAGTAAAAAAATTAAAAAAAAAAAAGTAAACAGACAGAAGGGACAAGAAAAACGAGACAACCAGGTTCAAGAGGAGTGGAACCAGGATCTAACACTGGCATGCTTAAGACTGCATATGGAAGGGCCACAATAGATGGACCCTGATAGAACGGGAGAAAAACGTGGACCAGAATCTTAAATTTCTTTTAAAAAAAAAAGACTTACTGGACTGGTTGACACTGGAGGACTCCCTGAGACTACTGGCCTGAGATACTCTTCAAACCACCAAAACTAACCCCTCAGGTCACCTTGTGATAAAAAAAATTAACAAAAAATTGGTGCAAAAAAATAATGAGTATCACCTGTAAGTACTGTGCTCCTTTAAAAAAAAAACCACCTATATGAGAGTATATAGTCAACAATTACTTTAAAACAAAGATGAGACAGTAAGGGGGCATGGAAACTAAATTAATGGGAACGGAACAACCAGAATGGAAATAATGAGAATGTTTACGCATTGTGAAGAATGTAACCAATGTCACTGAACACCTGTGTAGAAATTGTTGAATGGAAACCTAAACTGCTATATAAACCTTCACCAACACACAATAAAATATTATTGAAAATGTGTATGGACTGCTCAACTCATCCTCCATGGTCTCTCGGGGCGGGGAGAGAAAAATGCCCCACCATCCACCATCATGCCCCTTTCTAAGTACCTTCCCAGGCCTCTCGCTCTCCGGAGGCCACTCCCTGAACTCCGACAGCAGGCTGACTCATGTCTGATCTATGGCCAGTGCTCAGGTAGGGCCTCACAGCAGGGTAGCAGACAGGCCTTCAAACTTGACATGAGGGCAGCCAGTTGTACATGTGTGATTTCACAATTTCCTACCTGGCAAACACTCTTGAGGTTCTCTCTTTTACTTCCAACTTACCTAACGGAAAGTGTGAAGTCTCCAGGGTTACTTTTACTGGGCCTTGCCAAAAAACTGCCATCAACTCCTCTTGTCAACAGTAGGTTTTCTGCCTCCACGCCAGTGATATTTGGGTGAAACCATCTTGAAAGACAGAGAAAGAGAGAATGAAAACCAAAGGACTTTGTCAGCACTGCTGTTCAAGCCATCACAGCTAAAATACCTTATAAGTAGCTGATAAAATACAAATCAAGACCTTCCCTGCCCCTTCCGACTCTTCTGCTTGGTTGCCATCCCCTCCCACCTTCTTCTCAGTAGAGGCCTCGGATTCTGCCAGCACAGCAGGTGGGGCTGGGGACATGGCTGGTGGGGGCCAGTGCTGGGGGTATTAAGCCAGCACACTTGGTGGGGCCAGGCCCAAAAAGACAGTCCTCAAGGTCAGGAGACTGAGAACATGGAGTGGGATTGAGCAAATAGGTAAATAATTCAATAATCAATAATATATAAATACGTAAATATACAGAGGATAATGGGAGCCAGGTTCCTCACTGCTGGAGAGGGAGATACAAATATGGAAAGGGAAAAAGCCAGAAGAAACCCTGTGATATTAAGTTGGAACTCGAGGTAACTCTAGTTAATATACATGCATAGACATAAAAATATAAATATATGTATGTGTGTACATATACATGTGTGTATACACATGCACACATACATTTTCTAGCTCTCTTTTCTGAAACAGCCTGGAAGCAGTGACACCCCAGTAGCAACTGGCACACCTAGCACCCTTACCTTGGTTTCTAAATACTATTCTCCACTAGCTGGAACATGGGCTCCTTGGAGAAATGGCTGATTCTAGGGCTAGGAGAATCAAAGAAGATGGGCTTGGAATATCTTATTGTGCCAGAGCAAGAAAGAGTTTCAACAATAATGAGAATGTGTCAAAAGGATACAGGAGCCAGCTCTAAGGGTTTCCACTGGCCAAACTGGGGGCAATTTAAAACTCAAAATAAACAATGATTAACAGATTATAACTCATTGAATAAAACAGAAAACTAAGAGTCCATACAGATATTAACTTTTTAAAAACTAATTAAAAATACATAGGGAAAAAGGGAAACAGTCCTTGCAGTAGAATCACAAATAATGAAACATAGAAGGAATGATGAAATTAGAAAATCACAATCTGGCAACCATCATAGTAATAGGCAAGTATCATCAATGGATGCTAAAACTAGTGGGTTAAAGTTTAAGGATGGACAGTATTTACAGAGACTCAGAGCAACTCCCCACAAAACCAAACCCAAACCCACTGCAGTCAAGTAGATTTCAACTCATAGCGATCACATAGGACAGAGTAGAACTGCCTCATAGGGTTTCCAAGGCTGTAATCTTTACGGAAGCAGAATGCCACATCTTTCTCCCGTGGAGTGAACTGTGGGGTTCAAACCACCGATCTTTTGGTTGGCAGCTAAGCGCTTTAATCACTGTGCCACAAAGGCTCCTTTCTTCCCACAAAATGCTTATTAATTACTTTCTAATAAGTAAAAAAATACTAATAAACTTTACATGGAGAAACTCGACAGATAAACCATCTTACCCAAGTGATGACAGTTAAAATTACTATGCTTCCTGCTATGATGCACTGAGAAGGGTGTCATTTCTGTGTCATGCCAAAAATGCATTACTTAAATCTAATGATGGAGAACGTCAGACAAACTCAAATTGAGTGGCATTCTACAAATAACTGGCCTGTACTCGTTAAAAATTCAAAACCATGAAAGCGAGGGAGAAGACGGGGAGCTGAAGAACAGTGCAGTTTAAAGGCCAGAAAGAAGATACAATAAATCAAACAACGCATGATCCAGGATTATATCATGGACCAGAAAGAAAGGGGGAAAAGGGAAGAAAGTTTTTTGTTGTTGTTCTGTCTTTTGCCATAAAGGATATTACTGAAACAATCTGAAAGGGGTCTAAAGATAAGATAAGGAGCCTTAGTGGCACAGTGGTTAAAGCGCTCGGCTGCTAACCAAAAAGTCTGTGGTTCAAACCCACCAGCTGCTCCATGGGAGAAAGATGTGGCAGTCTGCTTCCGTAAAGATTTACAGCCTTGGAAACACTATGGTGCAGTTCTACTCTGTCCTACGGGGTCGCTATGAGTCAGAATCGACTTGACGGCAATGGGTTTGGTTTTTGGTTTTGATAGGATGAGACGGTAGTACTGTATCAATGTAAATTTCCTGATTTTGACGCATGTGCTGTGGTTACGCACGTGAGTGTGCATGTTTTTAGGAATGGCACACTGAAGTATTTATACACACATGAAGGAGCCGTTGTGGCACAAATGGTTAAGCACTCAGGGACTAACCAAAAGGTTGGTGGTTCGAATCCACCAGAGGCTCCATGGGAGAAAGACCTGGTGACCTGCTTCTGTAAAGATTACAGCCAAGAAAACCTTATAGGGCAGTTCTACTCTGTCACATGGGGTCACTATGAGTTGGAACAGACTCAACGGCATCCAATAACAGTAGTAACATATATGGGGGAGAGGCCAGGGCAGGAGGAGCCAGGGAAGGGAGGGGATAGACAGAGAGAAGGAAAATGTGATAACCTATTCACAACGGATAAATCTTGATAAAAAGTAATTAGAAATTCTTTATACTGTTTTTGCAGCTTTTCTGTAAATTTGAATTATTTTAAAATAAAAAGTTTAAAAAAAAAACACATAAGGGACGAAATCTACTGTGGATGGCACTGGCTTCAGAGGAGTTCTCTCTAGTTCCCAGCAAGAGGGTTTCCTTGATGGATTCCGCAAGTCACCAACAATCATGGTCAGGGAAATATCTACAATTAAGTCATCCTGGACCTTTAAATGCTCGCAGGAATGTAAGTCAATATTAAACATAGTCCTGGCACTGACAACTCAATGAACTTTTAAGAGACTGCTCAACAAATATTGGCCCAATTAAAGCATTTGACAACAGTGAAGTAGAGAGATAATGCAAGGGTGAAGAGCTGTCCTCAATCACTCATTAAGGATGTGGAAAGCAATAGGAGGAAGAAATGGAATGTGTGGCTAACTGCCTCCCTGAACAACTACTTCCTTTGCCATGAGACCAGAAGAACTGGATGGTGCCCGGGCTACCATTACTGAAGGATCTGATCCAAGATTCTATAGAAGAATCCTGATCAAAAGGGAGAAAACACAGAACAAAATTTCAAACTCTCATGGAATCCAGACTTTATGGAGCCATGGAGACTGGATGACCCCTGAAATTATTATCCTGATATAAATTTACCTTAAATATTACATTAACATAACACATAATATTCATATAAATATTAAATAAGCCAAAAATATTCATAAAGCCTTCTTAAAACCAAACAATAATTTAGCTTAACTAGTAAAAATGTCTGCCTTGAGCATTGTGCTCTTTAAAGATTGATCTACATGGGATCAAACTGACAACAGCAACTCAAAAAGATTACACAGGAACCTCAGGGGACAGTAAGTTTGTTAATAGAGGAGGAACAACTCAGAAAAGGAGGGTGAGAATGACTGCACAACTCAAAGAATGTAATCAATGTCAATGAACTGCACATGTAGAAATGGTTGAATTGGTGTCTGTTTTGCTGTGTACATTCTCAGTAACAATAAAAAATAAATTATTAATGTGGTTTCAAAGATAACATGAAAGAAAAAAATGTCAAAAGCTGCACAGTGTTCTGGCCAGGAGCTGCTGATCAGACAGACCTGGCGCATATGTGGGCTCCACCACTTACTAGCTGTGACCTGGGCAAGTTAGTTCATCTCTCTCAGCCTCAAAATCCTCAGCTGCCACATGGAGATGATAGTTCTTACCTCATAGGTTCATTTTCAGAATAAACTTAGATAGTAAAAGAAAAGGACTTATTAGTGACTCTAAAACACAGAGAACTTTAAGGGGCAGAGAGAACAAGTTCACGGTGGTGAAACCATGGGGCAGAGATGGGGAGAACGGTGACACAATGTGAAGAATATAACCACTGTCAATGAACTATGCATGTAAAAATGGTTGAACAGGTGTATGTTTTGTTGTGTGTAATTTCACCAAAAATAATACAGAAAAGGGCTTACTAAATTCATTCATTCAACAAATATTTACTAAGCACCTTTCATAGGCAAGGCATCAAGACGCTGGGGACACAGCAATTAATAAAACAAAGTCCCCCTCTCATGAAGCTCTCTTTATAATGGGAGGGGACAGAAAATAAAGACATACCAAGTGAATACACAAACTGTCAGATGGTGCTAAATGCTATGAAGAGGGCTGAAGTAGGGTCAGGGGACTAGAAAGGGAGTAGAGAGTAAGGTAGATACTATTTCTATAGGGTGACTGAGGAGGGCTTCAGTGAGAAGGGAACATTTGATCAGAGACCTGGAAGAAGTGAGGCAGCAACAAGCTGACACTGGAGAGCAACAGGATCAAGGGCATAGGGCTGGCACCATATTTAGCATGTTCAAGCATGCAAGAGGCCAGTGTGGCTGCAGCAGAGCGGGCAAGGGAAGAGAGGGGTAGGGGATGAGGCCAGAGAGGTAATTAAAGTCCAGATTGCGTAGGGCCTCGGAAGACAATGTAAGAACTTTAGCCTTTATTTTTTATAAAATGCCAAAGGACTAGAGGGTTTTAGGCAGGGGAGCAGCATGATCTGACTTATATTTTTAAGTGATCCTTCAGGCTACTCTGTGAGAGCAAGGATAGAAACACATGGATCAGTGAGAAAGCTACTGTGATAATCCCAGGCAAGAGATGATGGTGCCATGGACCAAGGTGGCAGCAGCATAGTGATAAGTAGTTTTCCCAGGAATATTTTAAAGGTTGTTGCTGCATGCCATTGAAGTCAACTCCAACTCACAGTGACCCCATCAGACAGAGAACTGCCCCATAGGGTTTCCTAGGCTGTAATCTTTAACATAGCAGACTCCCAGGTCTTTTTTCCCGTGGAGCCACTGATAGGTTCAAACCGTTGATCTTTCGGTTAGCAGCTGAGCATTTTAACAATTGCGCCATCAGGGCTCCTATCTTAAAGGTAGCCAACAGGATTTGCTATTGGATTACATATGGATTGGAGGACAGAGATAGGAGAAAGACTGACTCTAAGGT